GTGTGTGTGTTGTGTGTGTGTGTGTGTGTGTGTGTGTGTGTGTGTGTGTGTGTGTGTGTGTGTGTGTGTGTGGACGAAATAATTATATTGGACACAAAATTGGTCATCAATTCTATATTCCAACCATTGAACTTTTAAAATCGGACGTAATTATATATCTGGACTTTTATTCCCCTCCCCTTCCTCCCCCCTTGATATACAGCGGAGGGTAGAATACATATCAATTGGACTTTACTGGACTGGTTCATCCACAAATTGGGTCATAAAAGGATATACTTTTTCATTGACTTCGAAAATAGGACAAGATCTTTCCTCCTGGATTCTCCTTCCTCCTCCCCCCTTTCCTCCCCTCTCCCCTCCCCTCCCCTTTCCTCCTCCCCCTCCCCCTCCCCTCCCCCAGATGGTGGAGGGCAGTGTATATATTAATGGGACGTGATTGGGATTTGATTTCGTAGAAGTTTTGGTCGTCGAGTCGTGATTCAGGTCAGTGTGTGTGTGTGTGTGTGTGTGTGTGTGTGTGTGTGTGTGTGTGTGTGTGTGTGTGTGTGTGTGTGCTAATGAAGATGTGTCAGGGATATCTCACCTTGTTCTAAAGCCTGTCTGTCTGTCTGCCTGCCTGTCTGAATATCTGTCTGTGTCTGTCCGTCCGTCTGTCTGTCTGTTTGTCTGTCTGTCTGAATATCTGTCTGTCTCTCTGTCTCTATATTTATCTATTTATCTAATATCACTAATTTCCTTTCAGAAACATATACAAGATATAGTACAACGTCCTCTCTCTCTCTCTTCTTTTTTTTTTCTCTCTCTCGATCAGTTAAGGTAATTCAATAGTTTTACAATAGTCTCCCCTGAGTTAGAGCCGTCAGCTGATTACCTAATGGGCCCCAGACTTAGGGGTTCAGTCCTAATGGGCCCCAAACTTAAGGGGTGCTAGTCCTAATGGGCCCCAGACTTAAGGTGACTAGCCCTAATGGCCCCAGACTTAAGGGGTGCTAGTCCTAATGGGCCCCAGACTTAAGGGGTGCTAGTCCTAATGGGCCCCAGACTTAAGGGGTGCTAGTCCTAATGGGTGGGGCTCCAATTCTAATAGGTCCTCAGGTTAATGGCTTCCAGTGCTCATGTGTCTTATTTTTAATGGTTAGGTTAGGAACCAGGATTAAGTTTATCTCATTTATAATAGGGTAAATTGGATTGGATTCAGGGCCTATTATAACTGGGGCCTCATAGTACTGTACCCTATTATAACTAGGGCCTATTATAACTGGGGCCTATTATAACTAGGGCCTATTATAACTAGGGCCTATTATAACTGGGGCCTATTAGACCTGGGGCCCGTCAGAACCTTTTGTGAGATCGTCCAATTTACACTCGTTTGCACCTGACTGTCTTGTTTACCTGAGAGCATAGAAGGTTAATTAATTGCTTTGTGTTGAGGGGTCTATCAACCTGTCTGTACTTGTATGACCCTTGTGATGTAATGGAATAACCTATGAATAAAAGGAGAGAGAGAGAGAGAGAGAGAGAGAGAGAGAGAGAGAGAGAGAGAGAGAGAGAGAGATACTCACCCAACTGCGTAATAAGCGTGGAGAGGAGGTCATCCAGGTGCCAGTCATCCCACTCCCTCACGCTCTCTGCTACAATGCTCAGCTTCCTTCTGTCAACAACAACAACAACACCTGGTTAGCTTATCTTACACTTATGACCCCTATAAACACACCTGGTCACGTTACCTTACACATATGGCCCCTATAATTTACACCAAAACATCACCTTATGACCCCTATAAACACACCTGGTCACGTTACCTTACACATATGGCCCCTATAAATACATCTGGTCAGCTTATCTTACACATATGACTCTGTAAGCACACCTGGTCAGGTAATAGGTAGTAGGCAGCTATCAAACAGGGAGGTACTACCGCCTGGGAAGATATTGGAAGCATAATGTGTTGTCTAATGGTAGACCCTGCTGCCATATGTGACCAAGTCCCAGGTTGATGATCTGACTTTCTACCTCCTTTACACTCGTTGCAGGGTCTCAATTATTTCTCTTACTATTGACAACACAACATACATATAGCGTTTATCATTTGTTATCTTTTTTTTTATTTCTTTATGGTTATTATTATTATTATTATTATTATTATTATTATTATTATTATTATTATTATTATTATTATTACTTTTCGCCCCCCAGGCCCCGATGTGGGTCAGTGACCTGTGCCCGGGTGGGCTAATCCCATAAAAAAAGGCGCTCTAAACATACCTGTTCACCTTACCTTACACATATCGCCCCTATAAACACACCTGGTCAGCTTATCTTACACATATGACCCCTCTAAACACACCTGGTCGGCATATTTTACACATATATGACTCTCTAAACATACCTGGTCACACCACCTTACACATATTAACACACCTGGCCACCGTCCAAATCCCAGGTGAGACTACAGTTTAATTAACTCCCCCAAAATTCTACGAAAATGACAGAAAAAATGTGAATAATTACGAGGTATTTTTTTCCTCTTTCTATATAAAAAAATTGAACTGAACGAACATTAATGGATCTTTTTCTCTACTTTCGTTCACTATTTTTAGTTTAAATTGTTTTATTCTCCAACTAAAAGTAAAAATCTTGAAAAAATATGAAACAGGTTTGGTTTGGTTAGGTTTGGTTTAATTTGGTTTGGTTAGGTTAAGTTTAATTTGGTTTGGTTAGGTTTGGTTTGGTTTAATTTGGTTTAATTTGGTTTGGTTAGGTTAAGTTTAATTTGGTTTGGTTTGGTTTAATTTGGTTTTGTTACGTTTGGTTAGGTTTGGTTTGGTTAAGTTAAGGTTACGTTTCGTTAGGTTAGGTTAGGTTAGGTTAGGTTAAAATAGTCTAAAAAAATATTAAATGAAAACTTTAGCTCTCTTGTTCATGGAAGTTCAAACAATACTGGCCAAACTACTTCACCGTGGGCCATGTTGGGTCAGGGTACTCTGTTAAAGTCTCTCTGTCGCTACCAATAATTCCTCTTCCTCCGCCTCTCTCTCTCTCTCTCTCTCTCTCTCTCTCTCTCTCTCTCTCTCTCTCTCTCTCTCTCTCTCTCTCTCTCTCCTCTGCTCCCGATTATCCGTGTGTATCCCGTCTGATTATCCGTGTGTGTATTTGCTGATTATCGATATGTGTGTGTGTGTGTGTGTATGTGTGTGTATGTGTGTGTGTTTGTGTGTGTACTTTCTGATTATCCGTGTGTGTACCTGTCAGGAAAGAGAGAAAGAGAGAGATGTCCTAAGCAGACAGGCAGACAGACAGCCAGATAGACAGACAGACAGGCAGACAGACAGCCAGACAGACAGACAGACAGACAGACACCCTCCTCTTGACCTCACTACCACCACCAACAAACCTCTCACCTAACAAACCAATTAAGGTCATTTATCAGCTATTAGCACGCCTCCATCAACACCTGAGGACCACACCTGAGTAGTACCTGCTAATCACTTGGAAATTACCTGTCTGGTGCAGAGGGTTGTGTGATTATAATTTTCCACAGGTTGAACTCATAGTATATATACCTGTGTGTGTGTGTGTGTGTGTGTGTGTGTGTGTGTGTGTGTGTGACTGAATGGAAATAAAAATGTGTTCAAGTAATTAGGATTACCCAGGTTAAGTTAGGTTAGGTCCAGGTCCAGGTCAGGTTAGGTCAAGTTAGTTTAGGTTAGGATTGGGGTTAGGTCAGGTCAGGTTAGGTCAAGTTAGTTTAGGTTAGGTTGGGATTTAGGTCAGGTCAGTTTGGGTCCAAGTTAGTTTGAGTTGGGTTAGGTTAGGTCCAGGTCAGGTTAGGTCCAAGTTAGTTTAGGTTAGGTTGATTGGGTTAGGTCAGGTCAGGTTAGGTCAAGTTAGTTTAGGTTAGGTTAGGTCAGGTCAGGTTAGGTCAAGTTAGTTTAGGTTAGGTTAGGTCAGGTCAGGTTAGGTCAAGTTAGTTTAGGTTAGGTTAGGTTAGGGTCACATCACCTACTTCATAATAAACAAAACACGTTACGGTCTTGATGAAACTCACCTGAGAGCCTTCCACTCAAGGTCACCTGTCCTCAGCAGCATGTCGAGGGCGAGCAGGAGGTTGTCAGCCTGGAGGAGGAGACGAGTGTTGGTTACGGCTCATGGTGGAGGGTGAGGTGGTGGAGGGTGAGGTGGTGGGGGTGCGGTGGTGGAGGGTGAGGAGGTGGTGGAGGGTGAGGTGTGGTGGAGGTGAGGTGGTGGAGGTGAGGTGGTGGAGGTGAGGTGGTGGAGGGTGAGGTGGTGGAGGGTGAGGTGGGTGGAGGAGGGTGAATTGGTGAGAGTGCGGTGGTGGAGGTGAGGTGAGGGTGGAGGCGAGGTGTGGAGGGTGTGAGGTGGTGGAGGCGAGGTGGTGGAGGGGTGTGAGGGTGGTGGAGGGCAGGTGGTGGAGGGCGAGGTGGTGGAGGCGAGGGTGAGATTGGAGGGCAGTGGTGGAGGGTGAGGTGGTGGAGGGTGAGGTGGTGGGGATTGCGGTGGTGGTGATCGACAAGAAGATAAACGACCCACATAGGTATTGGGGTATACTGTGTTGGTAGGAAGGGAGGTAAAACAACATTTATATATACATACACACATACATACATACACACACATATACATACATCATACATACATACAAGTGGATTGTCACACACACACACCCACCCACACACCCACACCCACACACATACACACACACAGACACATACACACACACACACGCACACACAGACAGACACACACACACACACACACACACACACACACACACACACACACTATAATATATTAATTATCATTCATCCAGGTTAAGGTTCAAATGGTCCTTAAAACACTATTGCAGATCGACTAAACTGTTTTCCGGGTCAGTTCAATATAATGACATTCACCAACTCTCTCTCTCTCTCTCTCTCTCTCTCTCTCTCTCTCTCTCTCTCTCTCTCTCTCTCTCTCTCTCTCTCTCTCTCTCTCTCCATGACTCCCACGTTAAGAGGTTCATCTTCACACCGGCGGGGCTTCCTCTCTCTCAAGGAACAATTAAGTGGACACTAAGACGCTTTACTTTCGCCTTAATTACATACCTGATGGTGTTATGAGGCTTCCTACGTTTATATTAGCTTCCCCTAGGGCTACCTGTGTGATCTGGGGCTACCTGTGTGATCTGGGGCTACCTGTGTGATCTGGGGCTACGTGTGTGACCTGGGGCTACCTGTGTGATCTGAGGCTACCTGTGTGAGCCTGGGGCTACCTGTGATCTGGGAGCTACCTGTGTGATCTGGGGGCTACCTGTGTGATCTGGGGCTACCTGTGTGATCTGGGGCTACCTGCTGTGTGACCTGGGGCTACCTGTGTGTGACCTGGGGCTACCTGTGTGACCTGGGGCTACCTGTGTGATCTGGGGCTACCTGTGTGTGATCTGGGGGCTACCTATGTGATCTGGGCTACCTGTGTGATCTGGGGCTACCTGTGTGATCTGGGGCTACCTGTGTGATCTGGGCCTAGTTGTGTGACCTGGGGCTATCTGTGTGATCTGGGGCTACCTGGGCCTATAAGGTGTTGTAGAAATTGATGTATCACACACACACACACACACACACACACACACACACACACACATGAAATTATGTGCATACTCAAACACGACACAGAAATGTGTACGTTGAAATGTATATATAGCATACGTATATACGTATGCATTTATATACATATATATTGATGTATTTACACGCATACATTGATAAGGTGAAAGACACAAGTGTGGAGAGAGAGAGAGAGAGAGAGTATACTCACAGGGATAGTGATGAAGGTCCAGACAGCCTCTGTAAGGTTCTGTAGACTGAGAGGCTGGTTGGGGTCAGGGGGGTCTCTGGCTGGGGTCAGGAGGGGTTTGGAGTCATCATCATCCTGGGGTCGTGACCTGAACCCCCCAGGACCACCCTCCCGACGCCTCGACCACCCCACCGAGGTCTTCCTTGCGACAGTGACAGGCGCCGAGGGGGACCTTGTCATCCTGGTGTAGGAGCTGACTCTCTCCTGCACCGTCGACCCCATCTCTCTATTAGGACTCCCTCCTCTGCTGCTGGCCTCTATGGACGTACCTCTCTCCCACCCACGCCCTTCTGAGGCCCCACCAGGACGCCCAACACTTCTGCCGCCGTCTTCCACGCCCGCGCCCATACCAGGGACGCGGGCGGCGTTGAAGGGGCACGCCATCACCCTTAGACTCGATCACATGGTCCCTCTCCCAGCTCACCTCTGAGGATGGTCCATCTCACCCCGTAAACGGGTCATGATTATCGGGTGTTTCAGGTCCAGAGGGATAAAAGGGACACTAAACACAGGTCTTTACAGGTCCTTACTGACTAGTGACCTGGCAGATCAACAACGTAACCCGTAGAATAGTTAGAGACCAGGATATTAGATACCCAAGTTTTCTAAGAGGCGGTGGCTTAGCAGTATACCTGAACAAGTTACACCAGAAATATGATAACAATAACACCTTATATATTATCGTGTATTAAGAGTTTTCTAATGATGGTTCAGTTGTGGGCGTCAAGTTTATCCCCTTTCTAGTAGACTCAGTTATGGTATCAAGTGTACAACGTTATGTATAAGTCAGCGACACAGAGCAACACAATGTTCACTACTAGACTCTGATTTAAGGTCTCGAGTTCACAAGTGTCTTTTTTAAGAGGTTGTGACTTACAGTATCAAGCTTAAACGTTTTCTAACAAGCTAGGACTCGAGGATATGAGCCTTATAAAGCTTTCTAACAGCTTGAGACTTATGGTCGACAAGTGAGTTTTGCGATCAAATGATTTTTCCACTGTAAGGTCACATGAGGTTAATAAACTGTGTGTGTGTGTGTGTGTGTGTGTGTGTGTGTGTGTGTGTGTGTGTGTGTGTGTGTGTGTGTGTGTGTGTGTGTGTGTGAAGCCTCAGGTAATGTCCGGGTCACCTTCACTGTCACATGGGCAGTTCACGACGACGAAACACCAACTTTGTGTAGCAAGTTTGGATACAGGTTCCCGCGTTCGCTGTGAAGCCGCGTTAGCTGTGAAGCCAAGTTAGCTGTGGAGGCGAGTTCACTGTGGAGGCGAGTTAGCTGTGAATTGGTGCCCGGAGTTAATTGTGAACTGGTGCTCGGAGTTAACTGTGAACTAACTGGTATAGCTCGAGAGGACGTTTCTTTTGACTAAGACGATAGAGCCAGCCGGTCTGATACACCTGTGTTCGAGAGGTCCAGGCCGCCAGGTGTGACCCAGGGAGAGGCCGCCAGGTGTGACCCAGGGAGAGGCCGCCAGGTGTGACCCAGGGAGAGGCCGCCAGGTGTGACCCAGGGAGAGGCCGCCAGGTGTGACCCAGGGAGAGGCCGCCAGGTGTGACCCAGGTAGAGGTCGCCAGGTGGGATCCAGGGAGAGGCCAGAGGTTTGTTTACATCCACTAACACTCAAACGGTCACTTCACCAACTTGATCTGGAAAGAAAAAAATATATATTGTATTTTTTTTTAAATTGAAATATTTAACAAATCTATTTTTAACGAAGTATACCTGTTTAATTACCTGATTGAGTGACCAGTTAACTAGGTGACTAACTAACGAATTAATTGATTAGCAAGCTACTTAATCAATTAAATACATACATACATACATATATATTCAGGCGTATCTAAGAAGAAACCCAAAAATAATTTACTCATGTTAGAGAAAATTTATAAACACAGACATTTAGAAACGAATAAAAAGTAGGAGAGAAACGGAAGAGAAGGGATGGAAAATGAAATACAGTAAACAAAAATAAGATAAAGGAGAAGAGAGACAAGTGAGCATCATTTGTTTATACTCGCGACAGTCCCACTCCTCCTCAGCTTGGTGTTGAAGCCTTTTAGTTACGTCTGCTTTTAAAGAATAAGAAGATCAGAACTTATTACCCCGATGTTCTTTTGTTATAAGACGTGTTTGCATAAGTTACTAGAATCCTTAAGGAGATCAGAACCTATTACCCCGAAGTTCTTTTGTTAAATATTAAGAATTAACGAAGTGGAGTATTTTTTTTTACAGTATTTAAGGTGAATAAGCTTTTAGACAATTAACAGTGACCATAAATCAGCTTAAGGTAACTGTTGACTGGAGACGAGAGCTTGTTAAAGGTTGTGTTGTGGTGTGTTGTGTTGTGTTGTAGTGTTGTGTTGTATTGTGGTGTGTTGTAATGTGTTGAATTGTGTTGTGTTGTGTTGTGTTGTACTGTGTTGTGGTGTGTTGTAGTGTGTTGTAATGTTGTGTTGTGTTGTGGTGTGTTGTTGTGTGTTGTAATGTTGTGTTGTACTGTGTTGTGGTGTGTTGTAGTGTGTTGTAATGTTGTGTTGTGTTGTGGTGTGTTGTGTTGTGCTGTGTTGTACTGTGTTGTGTTGTGGTGTGGTGCATTGTGTTGTGTTGTGTTTGTGTTGTGTTGTACTGTGTTGTGTTGCGTTGTGTTGTGTTGTAAGGAGTAAGCTTATTAAACTCCTACTCATATTCACCAATTCCTTTCCTCATCAATACTATAAGACCAGGAAGGGGGTGTAGTTGTTTACGGTGGAGTTGGTTTGTTTATGTCGTGTTTGTTTGTTTGTTTAGGGCTATCCGGTGTGTTTAATTGTGGGAGGGTGGGTGGGTATTTGTTTGGTTGTAGAATTTGTTTATACTGTAGTTTTTAGACATAATATGACATAGACACAGACACACGACACACACACACACCACACACACCTACCCACACACACCACACCCATCTAATTTTCTATTAAGTGTCAAAGCCCCTCTCCCCCTCTCCACCCCCCTCTCTAATTAATTTACCAAGACAAAAGAAAAACCGTACATATTTTTTGGTGTAATTTGGCCAAAAGTTTACAAAAAATATAACAAGAACAAAGACGAGAAAATCCTGGAAACTCATTAATGGTGATGAATATTAATTTATAGTTCAATAGTGAGTATTTTATATCTGTCAAATGACCTTATTAATTGTTTGTGTGTGTGTGTGTGTGTGTGTGTGTGTGTGTGTGTGTGTGTGTGTAAAACAGACACCGCGAACCCCAAACATTACGGTGTGTTGTGTAAACTGTTTGTACCTGTCTGATAAATTGTTTGTATTAACCCCTACTACAGGTACACACACACACACACGCACACACACACACACACACTCACACACACTCACGCGTGTAATTTATAGTATTCATTGTTGTATTATTGGTCAAACGCACAATTTAAGTCATCGTCCTGTAAGGGTTAAGTCATCGTCCTCAAGGGGTTAAGTCATCGTCATCAAGGGGTTAAGTCATCGTCATCAAGGGGTTAAGTCATCGTCATCAAGGGGTTAAGTCATCGTCCTCAAGGGGTTAAGTCATCGTCCTCAAGGGGTTAAGTCATCGTCCTCAAGGGGTTAAGTCATCGTCATCAAAGGGTTAAGTCATCGTCATCAAAGGGTTAAGTCATCGTCATCAAAGGGTTAAGTCATCGTCATCAAGGGGTTAAGTCATCGTCATCAAAGGGTTAAAGTCATCGTCATCAAAGGGTTAAGTCATCGTCATCAGGGGGTTAATCATCGTCCTCAAGGGGTTAAGTCATCGTCCTCAGGGGTTAAGTCATACGTCATCAAGGTTAAGTCGTCGTCGTAAAGGGTTAAGTCATGCGCATCAAAGGGTTAAGTCATCGTCCTCAGGGGTTAAGTCATCGTCATCAAAGGGTTAAGTCATCGTCATCAAGGGTTAAGTCATCGTCCTCAGGGGTTAAGTCATCGTCATCAAAGGGTTAAGTCATCGTCATCAAAGGTTAAGTCATCGTCCTCAAGGGGTTAAGTCATCGTCCTCAAAGTTCGTCATCGTCATCAAAGTCATCGTCATCAAAGGGGTTAAGTCCATGTCATCAAAGGGTTGCCAAGTCATCGTCCTCAAGGGTTAAGTCATCGCCATCAAAGGTTGATCATCGTCATCAAAGGGTTAAATTCATCGTCAACAAGGTTAAGTCATCGTCATCAAGGGTTAAGTCATCGTCCTCAAGGGGTTCGTCATCGTCATCAAAGGGTTAGTCATCATATCAAGGGTTAAGTCATCGTCATCAAAGGGTTAAGTCATCGTCCTCAAGGGGGTTAAGTCATCGTCATCAAGGGTTAAGTCATCGTCAATAAGGGTTAAGTCATCGTCCTCAAGGGGATTTAAGTCATCGTCATCGAACAGTCATTCGTCAACAAAGGGTTAGTCATCGTCATCAAAGGGGTTAAGTCATCGTCAGCAAAGGGTTGATCATCGTACTCGGGGTTAAGTCATCGTCATCAAAGGGTTAAGTCATCGTCAACAAAGGGTTAAGTCATCGTACTCAAGGGTTAAGTCATCGTCATCAAAGGGTTAAGTCATCGTCATCAAAGGGTTAAGTCATCGTCATCAAAGGGTTAAGTCATCGCCATCAAAGGGTTAAGTCATCGTCATCAAAGGGTTAAGTCATCGTCATCAAAGGGTAAAAAACAACAGAAAACAAGACACAAAAATAATTTCAACTAAACACCTGATATTTTTTTTTCATTAAGTTACGCAGCTCACCTGAGGCCCTGTGCTGATGGTTTGATACATCAGGGGGAAAATGAGTTGAGTTAAGGGATTATTTTAGTATTGTATTGTATAAGTTAGTATTGTATTGTATAAGTTAGTATTGTATTGTATAAGTTAGCATTGTATTGTATATTTTAGGACTGTATATCGTGTGTATATTTCGGTTCAGGAATAACAAGGGGAGGAGAGTTACTATGTTGTGTGTATATTGTTTACAGTTTGTGGTTCATCTGTTGTTGTTGTTTACTGTTTTTGTTTGTTGTTGTTTGCTGACGTTTGTGGGGTTTTTAGTTGGTGATTGGTCATTAATTTATTGAGTTAGTTTGTTTATTTTTATGTGTGTGTGTGTGTGTGTGTGTGTGATAAAGAAAGAGGTCGATATACATAGAGATACAGAGAGAGAGAGAGAGAGAGAGAGAGAGAGAGAGAGAGAGAGAGAGAGAGAGAGAGAGACACACACACTGGGGCCGCCGACTATGACAATAAATATTAGAACTGGTCGATGGTCGCCACTTGTATGGCACCGGCCCTCTTGACCTCTGACCTACTACTTCTTCTATTGACCTGTTCTATTGTTCTATTGACCTGTTCTATTGTTCTATTGACCTGTTCTATTGTTCTATTGACCTGTTCTATTGTTCTATTGACCCGTTTTATTGTTCTATTGACTTGTTCTATTGTTCTATTGACTTGTTCTATTGACCTGTTCTATTGTTCTATTGACCTGTTCTATTGTTCTATTGACCTGTTCTATTGTTCTATTGGCCTGTTCTATTGTTCTATTGACACCTATTGTTCTATTGACCTGTTCTATTGTTCCTGTGGCCCTGTTCTATTGTTCTGATGACTTGTTCTGGCTTGTTCTATTGACCTGTTCTATTGTTCTATTGACCTCTTCTATTGTTCTATTGACATGTTCTATTGTTCTATTGACCTGTTCTATTGTTCTGTTGACTTGTTCTATTGTTCTATTGACCTGTTCTATTGTTCTGTTGACTTGTTCTATTGTTCTATTGACTTGTTCTATTGTTCTATTGACCTGTTTTATTGTTCTATTGTTCTATTGACCACTTGTATTGTTCTATTGACCCGTTTTATTGTTCTATTGACCTGTTCTATTGTTCTATTGACCTGTTCTATTGTTCTATTGACCCGTTTTATTGTTCTATTGACCTGTTCTATTGTTCTATTGACCTGTTCTATTGTTCTATTGACCTGTTCTATTGTTCTGTTGACCCGTTTTATTGTTCTATTGACTTGTTCTATTGTTCTATTGACTTGTTCTATTGTTCTATTGACCTGTTCTATTGTTCTATTGACTTGTTCTATTGTTCATTGACCTGTTCTATTGTTCTATTGACTTGTTCTATTGTTCTATTGACTTGTTCTATTGTTCTATTGACTTGTTCTATTGTTCTATTGACTTGTTCTATTGTTCTATTGGACCTGTTCTATTGTTCTATTGACTTGTTCTATTGTTCTATTGACTTGTTCTATTGTTCATTGACCTGTTCTATTGTTCTATCGACTTGTTCCATTGTTCTGTTGACTTGTTCTATTGACTTGTTCTATTGTTCTATTGACCTGTTCTCTTAACCTTCCACCTATCATGACTCAAGAAGGCTTATATCGTCAACTGTTAATTAAATTCGACTGTTCATTGTGTGTGTGTGTGTGTGTGTGTGTGTGGCGAGGGGGGGCAGTACAACACAGACACAGACACAGACACATCACTACACAGACACATCACTACACAGACACAGAGAGACACTTGGGATGTATCGTAGGTTAAGTGTTGGTAATGAAGTGACCATCTGGCGGCGATCTCTAGTTAATTACGAGAATTACGCTGATGTGATGCTAACCCAACCAGCCCAACCCAACCTAAC